ACAAGGAATTAGCATATCATAAGGATGACAGCAGGAAAACAATACTCAAAGAAGAGTTTGGCACTAATTCGGCAAGTGCTTCAACACAGAACTGATACATAGGTTTTCGGATCCCATTTGGATTACTCCCAATTTGTTATATATAGGGCTTCAAAATGATTGAGAAAGTTCAGAATTCAAAACAAGGCAACTGGAATATCACATAAGTCTGACACGCATTGCCATATTATGCCAATATTTCATCTGCACTGGTTGCCAGTTCTTTTCCTGTTCACTTTTAATCTTTAATGTCTCATGTGGCTTGGAGCCAGTTTAACTACTGAACCACCTTCCATGTTTACTTACTTAGACTGTAAGGATTAACACCTGAGGCCTTTTTCTCTAGCTATCCCAGGTGTGAAATATTCACCAGGTGTCTGCATTTTGGTCTCTTTGTTTCCAGACATCTTTATTTTTCTTCTCCAGACCTTTGGCAAATTATGTACTAATACATTATTTGCACTGCCCTTTATTAAATGTTTTTCTTCTGCTTTTTATCCTATGCGGTTTATTAGCTTACATCTTATTAGTCTAATTCTATGCCCTCCTGAACATCACAGTTGTTAAATACTTTTAAAATATAATAAGGAACCACCTGAATTTCTCTGACCTTAGTAATGGGCTTACTACCTATAGATGGTAAGAAAGGCCTGGCAGGCATTCTTCCCAAAGCTTTTTGCTTGACAAATTATTCTTAGGTATATACACTTTTAAATATACTGTATTAGAAAATAAGCGGGGGGAGATTCTGCATGAAGATATTAAATACCTGGTTTTTTATTTAGGTAACTTTATTTTTACCACTCTTTGATGAGGGACAAGAGGATGCAGCACAGGTGCTTCATGATGTCGGTGATTATAACAGGAGATTCTCAGGACAGCCAAGATCGGTATGTATGGGGGTAGAGCAATTCAAATAGGCGTCCGCAGTTCTTCTCATTATGACAAATGCCGCGTTTCTCTACATGAGCTTGACAAGCCTTAGCTATCTTCCCAGCTTTGGGAGCTGAAGGTGGGGAAGCAAGTACAAGCGGAGGGACAATCCCTTCTCTCAACTTCAGTGTTGTGGAGTACCTCCGAAATAAAGAGGCAAGATAAGACATTTCAGTCTTTCTCTTCATAATGGCCATGGCAATTATTTCCTAGCTGACTTCTAAGACAAAATGGAGTTTCATTCAGTCTCAAAAATACAGAATGGATATGAATTGTTCCCATGTTTGACAGTCCCTATCTCCTTTTCCAGTTCACACTGCATTGTGCAGCATTGTTGGAGCAGCAGCCTTTGTCTTCTTCCTCCTTTGCGTCAAAGTCCCATGTTGCTCGGAAGAGGGACTTAAAAACCATAGTTTTAAGTCAATCAGACACATTTGTGGAACCATAAATAAAGTACAGAATCATCCTTATTAGTATAACTCTTAGTGTATAATTTAGGATAAAAATGTGAGATTTGCTAGAAAAATACAAACTTCTGAAAGCTAAGATAGTCTAGCAGAATAATTCTTTAATTTTTTTCTCCCAAACTTTAGCAATTCCACCTTTCTGCTTTCTCAACAATACAGTGCTTCAACCCTACAGTATCTCTTCCTGTGTAATACTATCCATACTATAGTAACTATAACTGCAGTTGTTCTTTACTCATAAGCTTTCGTAGCAATGCATAACCTGCATTGCCAAACAGACTTGCTCAAAAACAGCTAATGGAATTAGAAGAGAGAACTATAAGCAGAATGACCTCTAGTCCAAATCTCATTTAAGCCATGAATTAGTTAGGTAACCTTTGACAAGCCACTGTCGGTCAAGCTCCTTCTGATATAGAAGAAACATTCTGATATTGAAGAATTATAATACTGATTTTTATTTAATGAAGCTATGCAAATCATTTGGAGGGACACGTTGCTCATACCAAACACTCTCCAAAGCCATTCCTTGAAGTATGAAGGTGACTATGTCCTCCTGATAGCGGTCCTAGCAGAAGCATCTTCTGTGTATACGTGCATTGACAGACAATCTTGAATAAGCAGCACAAAGTTTTGGGGAGAAGGATGTGAGTGCCTCGATGCTTCAAGGAATGACTTTGGAAGAGCACTTCCTGTGTCTAAAGCACTCCTCAGAAGGCTTTGCACAACCATGTTATTTAAATATGTTTTGCTTGTTCTGTAAGCTTGTTTAAGCTTGTACGCCTGTTATTGAAAGATTCTAATGCATTATTCTTTCTGTTGAGTTTGGGTTCTTATTGGTCACAGTAGATCATTCACTTAAAGGTACTGGGGAGAAGAGATTTAGCTCTCTCTAAAGTGTTAACATTTAATTGCACATTAAAAGCCTCAGTTGTGAACTGTTAAATGTTCCTCTGACAAATTACATGTTGTGCATAAGACAAACAAATTTTGACTGTGTATATCTTGTTTAGATTATGGAAAGGATTATGGATTTACCTACATTATTACGTCATGCATTCAGAGAAATGTTTTCTGTTGGTGGTCTCTTCTGGATGTTCCGCATCAGAATATTCCTCTGTCTCCTGGGGGCTTTGTTGTATCTTGCATCACCATTGGACTTTCTACCCGAAGCTTTGTTTGGAATATTGGGATTTTTAGATGATTTTTTTGTGGTTTTTCTGCTACTCATATATATATCTATCATGTACCGAGAATTTGTGACACTGAGACTGAACAGATGAGGCAAATGTCAGTAATTAACATTCAGGTGCATTAAGTGAATTAGCTATTTTGAAGAAAAACATCTAGACACAATTTTGGTTATTAAATAGCCTTTGTTTGATCATCTTATGCAATCAATCACATCTTTATTTCAATCATAAACCAGCATAAGATAACATGAGATTATAAAAGTTATCAACTTATGCAAACATGAGGAATTGATGTCATGGTGCTTAGGGAACTGGGAATTCAGTGTGTGATATAAAAAAGGTGTAACACATGCTTATGTATGTTTACAACATATGAGTGAGTAGTTACCATTTAGGCCAACATCAGTGACAAAAAGGAATTTGCCTTGGAATGTTTCATTTGAATTAGCTGGACATGTACTTAAAACATTGTTCAATGTATAATCTCATATTCAATGTAAACTTTCATAAACTGCTTTAAGCCTTCTGCGGGTAACCAGGTAAAGGGGATTGTTATTTTAAACACAATTGTTTAGAATGTCTGCCTGTGCAGGAAATGCTCAAGCAGTACAGTTATTAAATAAGCTTGAGTTACAACATAATATTGCACAAACAGAATAAGTACAGTATTGCAACTGTGTACAATTATGTGTTCTCTCAATATAATTTCCCCCCCATGGAATTGCACTGTCCACTGTGGAGAGAATGCTGTCTTCTCCATAACTAATGATTGTATGTAGTAAGGTTTTGCATTACAAAGTTCATGTTTTTGTAAAATAGAAGATAGCCTAGCCTAACATGGATGGATGGATGGATGGGTACAGTATTAGACAAATATTTGAGTTTAGATCATAACTGGCCTCTCTAATCAGGTGAATTACTAAATGAAATATTAAATATTGCTGGTAGAGCCATTAGCTGAAATCTAAAACTGAATTTTATAGTGAATATACTTGAAATAAGAACTGGTAATGGGGACCATAGATATTTTATATATATTCTTACTTTTGAAAAGCATATAAATACTCCTTCAGAGTCAGCCTCATTGAACATTGCAGGCCTTGCTTTTCAACAAGCACACATAATTTTAGACTACAAGTCTTCTCAAGTTTCATTTCAAAGTGGTCCTAAAATACTATGAAATGCCTTGTTTAAGCCATTTAACTGTTCTTGAAGAAAGAGAAAATGACTAACAGGCCTATGAAGTCACTGCTTACAAGGCTGGAGAAACTGTAGCCTTCCACATGATGTGAACTGTAACTTCCAGCTTTCCTTGCTATTTGTTGTCCTGGTTTGGGCTAATGGGATTTCATAACTATAATTTCTCCATCTTGCTATTTCATTTCATACTACAACTGGAAATACCCTAACCTGTGAACAACGCCCTGTCTCCTTAGACATATACAGAACAGTGTCTTCACTATCAAAAAAGAATGAGAATAGGGATAAAGGTGCTTGGACTGTAAAGGGTGCTATATACAGTACAAAGCTTACAAAGATGCTCTCCAAAAATATGGATGTGGAGAACTGAGCTACCATATATGGAATGTGCTTAATCCCTTAGCCAACCATGAAATAATTATTTAGGTCTTGCTTTTTAGCAAATTCCTGCAAAGAATGAAAGCATTGTTGTATGTTAATATAAGGTATTTTAAGAGATAGTTAAGACATCTTGTGGAGAAGATGAGGGAATACCCCCTTCTGGTCTAACTTCTCTATGGTAGCACTGTCATTATGAAGACTTGTATTGGCATTGATCTTAAAATTATTAATATTAGACAGATTTTTTATTCCAGTTAAGTTTAGAAACTGAATATTGAATACTGTTCTAATGTTGAATATTGACTAATTTTAATAGTTGTTTAAATGCCAATAGAATTCTAAACTGTGATTAATGAGGGGGGGCGAATGCATTTCAGAGAGGAGGGAGTGTGAGATGTTTAAGTCTTATTTCCAATCATATAGTACACTTAAAGGAGGGGAAACACTGTGCATTAACACTGACTTAAAAAAAAATCCAAATCTTTCAGTTTGATGAAATCATTGCCAAAGAAATCTCCCATTATTTCGCTGATGAAACAATAATCTCTCGACAAAGACTGGATTTGAAATCCCATTTTAGTTCTTGGGGATTCCAAGTGCCAATATGTTGGAATGTACATGTTAAGTACATTTAAATAGTAATTTTTGTAAAATGAACTTGTGTCTCTCTGTTATCTTCTCAAGATGCTGAATGTGACCATGGTTTTCTTTAAAAATGTGGAACCATTTTCATTGTTGTTTCTATAAACATATGTCTTAAATTTTCAAAGTTATGTCTGGAGAACATGCTTGAATGTATTTGCTGTAACTGAAGCTTATAGCAGCTTGTTCTATCTATATCTGAACTGAAGAAAAGGGAACACAATAATTGTTTAGAAAGAGAAGCTACTTCTGTGCTAACCCTTTTAATACTTCACTCACTCCGTTGTCATTAGTAGCATCTGGACACAATTTCTTGGCTCTCAGGTAAAATTCCAGCATGATGTGAATTTTGTATGATGTTTGGCTAGCCCCAATCCTGTCTCTGGAGAGCAGGAAAGAAAGAGTCATAAGTTATGAAACATAGAAGCTTGATCAAGTATATATGTTTACAAAGAGGACTTTTCAAACTTTAAGCTTATTTTAAAGGCCTGCATGTGATACAATTGCAAAATCAAAGCAATTAGGTACTTTCTGCTTTCTATTTTCATTTTCGGTGAAGCTGAGGCATAATTTTGAGCAAAATAGCTTGAAGATCATTACAAGTAGAGCTTTAATACCCTACTTCTTTCTATACTGATATTTTTCTTGTATTTTGGCCCCCTACTTTGTCAACAGAAGTCCTCTTACATAGTTTTGGGATGCCTCCCAGGTGGGGCAGCAATCAGTATCACATAATACACTAAGCTATAATATGGCTTATTTGATTTTAACTTATTGTGCTATGTTGGCCTAGCACCAGACTATTTAGTAAATAATTATTCAGTAAATCCTGGCAAAACAAATTATGTCTTAGTGCAATGTATGAACCCAGTCTGGGTGTTCTGATGATGCTCTGAAAAGTCAGTTCAGGTGGCATCATGCTTTCTGATTGGTGACAGTTTAGAACTTTTATTCTGGGAATTTTTCTAAGAAATCTTGCATTTCATGGAAATAGCCTAGGTTAACCTTCGTGAACCTGGCTCCTTCCAGATCTGGGAGGTGCAAGGGGGAGAGAGAGAATAAGCCTTCCTGTTATACATTATCTTTTTCTCAGCTTGTACCCACCCTCCAACACACAGAGAAACCCAGGTTGAATTTGGAACTCTGTATGTATACAAAAAATGCTTCTGTTTACTTTTAATCTATGGTTAATTAAACCATTGCTATATTCTTTGTTAAGAATTTAGGAAAAGAGTATCATAAAGCCTCTAATGTAGTTGTAATATGGAAATAGTCCTACCATTTCTGCATTACCTCAGGTGAGTAGTGTTGCTTTCATTATGGAAAGCGGAAAATAGCTAGATTTGATTGTACTATAGATAGCTCTTCATCAAGAAGAAACTTCCTCTGTCAGATCTTTGGTATAGGGCATGAATGGTCTAATCTTGTTTTACATACTGCCTTCATATTTAGATGGGTACCACCATACACCTATTGCACTAATTTCTAAAAGGAATTGAGATTCCTTATACAAAGGGTATTCAATCACCAGTTTACATACAGTAATCAAATGTCACATCCAAATTCAGTTTTATATTACGTATAGTATTATCTCATTAGAACTGTTCAGCTTTTTTTTGTTCCTTTTTTTAAATGCTACCCATTGAGACATAGTTTTCAGGATGGATTGTACATTTTATGGCCCTGAAATCCTAGTTTATTAATCAGACTAATACTGTACAAAAACACTGGCTTAAGCGATGGAAGCCACCCTTTTTAGAAAATCTTGGCAAGAGAAAATATTTCAAAGAAAATCTGTAATCATATGCTATCTAGTTGAACCCACAGTATTTTAAAGCAGTTCTGCCATCTATTGATCTTGTCATTAAAAACACTATTGCATATATGAATTATGATAAGATGACTTTCATCTAAGGAAGAATAATATCTATATTCA